GGTGGTGGTGATAGTGATCTGTTAGTGGTAGGGGTGGTGATGGTGAAGTGGTTAGTGGTGGGGTGGTGTTAGTGGTAGGGGGTGGTGGTGGTGATAGTGGAGTGGTTAGGTGTAGGGGGGTGGTGGTGATAGTGAGTGGTTAGTGGTAGGGGTGGTGGTGGTGGTGGTGAAAGTGGAGGTAGGGTGGTGGTGGTGATAGTGGACTGGTTAGTGGTAGGGGTGGTGGATAGTGAAGGGTTAGTGGTAGGGGTGTGGTGGTGATAGGGAGTGGTTAGGGTAGGGGTGGTGGTGGTGATATGGAGTGGTTAGTGGTAGGGGTGGCGTGAAAGTGGAGGGTTAGTGGTAGGGGGTGGTGGTGGTGAAAGGAGTGGGAGTTAGTGTAGGGGGTGGTGATAGTGGAGTGGTAGTGGTAGGGGGTGGTGATAGTGAAGTGGTTAGTGGTAGGGGTGGTGTTAGTGGACTGTTAGTGTAGGGGGTGGGGTGGTGGTGGATAGTGGACTGTTAGTGGTAGAGGTGTGGTGGTGGTGATAGTGGACTGGTTAGTCGAGTGGTTAGTGGTAGGGGGTGGTGGTGGTGATGTAGTGGTTAGTGGTAGGGTGGTGTTAGTGGAGTGGGTGTTAGGAGTGGTTAGGGTGGTGTAGTGGATGGTTAGTGGTAGTGTGTTAGTGGAGTGGTTAGTGGTAGGGGTGGTGTTAGTGGAGGGTTAGTGGTAGGGGGTGGTGTTAGTGGACTGAGAGTGGTAGGGGTGGTAAAGGTGAGTGGTTAGTGGTAGGGGTGTGTTAGGAGTGGTTAGGTGGTAGGGGTAAGGTGAGTGGGTTAGTGGTAGGGGTGGTGGTGGGTGATAGTGGAGTGGTTAGGTAGGGGTGGTTAGCTGGAGTGGTTAGTGGTAGGGGTGGTGTTAGTGATGGTTAGTGTAGGGGGTGTTAGTGAGTGGTTATAGGTGGTGTTGGTGGGAGTGGTAGTGGTAGGGGTGTGTTATGGAGTGGTTAGTGGTAGGGGTGGTGTTAGTGGAGTGGTTAGTGGTAGGTGTGTGGTAGTGGAGTGGTTAGTGGTAGGGGTGGTGTTAGTGGTGGGTATTGTTAGTGGAGTGGTTAGTGGTAGGGGGTGGTGTTAGTGGAGAGGTTAGTGGTAGGGGTGGTGTTGGTGGAGGTTAGTGGTAGGGGTGGTGTTAGTGGAGAGGTTAGTGGTAGGGGTGGTGTTGGTGGAGTGGTTAGTGGTGGGGGGTGGTGGAGTGGTTAGTGGTAGGGGTGGTGGAGTGGTTGGTGGTGGTGGTGGTAATAAAGTGGTAGGTGGTGTTAGTGGGTGGTTAGTGGTTGGGGTGATTGTTGAATTGGAGTGGTTAGGTGGTAGATTGGTGGTGGTGGAGTGGTTAGTGGTAGGGGGTGGTGGTGGAGTGGTTGAGTGGTAGAATTGGTGATGATTGGAGTGGTTAGTGGTAGGTGGTGGTGGTGGAGTGGTTAGTGGTAGGTGGTGGTGGTGGGTGGTAGAGTTGGTGGTGGTGGGTGGTTGATGGTAGGGGTGGTGAGTGGTTAGTGGTGAGGGGTGGTGGGTGGTTGAGTGGTGAGGGGTGGTGGTGGTGGAGTGGTTAGTGGTAGGGGTGGTGGTGGTGTGGGTAGTAGTATGGTAGGGGTGTGGTGGTGGTGATTGGTTAGTGTTGGGGGTGGTGGTGGTGGTGGTGGGTGGTTAGTGGTAGGGGGGTGGTGGTGGTGGGTGGTTAGTGGTAGGGTTGGTGGTGGTGGAGTGGTTGGTGGTAGGGTGGTGGTGGTGGAGTGGTTAGTGGTAGGGGGTGGTGGTGGTGTTAGTTGTTGAAACAGTTTATTTAGCCATAAAAACACAGATACAGAGTGGATAATAATAACAATATTAACATGGCTGAGCCAGTTGAGAACCTGAGCTCTCTTTGAGGCACCTGATATATACTATACATTTATCTCAAGGAAGTATTATGTAACATTTAGTATCATCTGGAATAGTACAATAGCATGGTGGTGATAATACCATCTCATAATGTTACCACGATTTATCACTTCAATATTTATTTATTATTTATTAATTATTTTTTATTTAAATTATAAGTATGTTCATAAATCACAGTGGAATTTAAAAAAAACATAAGTATAATGGGGAGCAGTACAACCTGGGTTGTACAGTAATAAAGTTGAACAAGAGGACGGGGCTGTCAGGATTGTCTAGTTGGCAATTATGTTTATTGCAATGGTAATTACTTATCTATTTACATGATAATTTCGATAAACGGTAGTGATGTTAATAGAAGTGATAATAGAAGTAGTAGTGGTGGTGTTAGTGGTAGTTTTGGTGATAGTGGAGTGGTTCGTGGTAATAGTGGGGCGGTAGTAATAATAGTGGTGGTTAGTGGTGGTAATGGTAGTGGTGGTAGTGGTAATAATACTGGTCATTAGTACGTAGAAGTTAATATACTCAGTTAAGTATGTTCTCAAATCTCTAGTTCATTAAGGCACCAACATTAACCTATGAGAATGTTTTTGTCGTAACTTAAGAGAATCAGTTATAGTTCTCTCTCACCTCCTGAACTAAGAGAAAATATAACCTCATGACCCATAATGACTTCTTCCCTGCCAGGTGTGCTGTTCAGGGCAGGTAGGACCAGGAAAAGTTGGAGAGAGAGAGAGAGAGAAGAGAGGAGAGAAAGAAGAGAGAGAGAGGAGAGAGAGAGAGAGAGAGAGAGAGAGAGAGAGAGAGAGAGACCCTTCTCTCCCACAATGTTTATTTACAATTGATTCATCCATAAATTCTCCCGTGTGTAGTGGTCGTATAGTAAGGCTTTGTTGACGTATTGTTTCGTTCGTAACCATTCTTATTATTACTATGTTTACGTGGCTGTCACTTCAGGTCAGTCAGTCAGTCTGCTGGTTACATTATCTTACTACTGTTTTCATTCTTCATTCAGGTGGTGGTGGATCACGTGTGTGTGTGTGTATCTGTAGGCTACGGTGACTCACAGCGCCTGCAGCGGGAGGGGGGAGGAGGGTCAGAGTCCTGGGAAATTACGACGTGTGTGTGTGTGTTGTGTTGTGTGTGTGTGTGTGATAATAATTAACGGTTTATTGAAAAGTTGTGCAGCCCAAAGGCTGAAAATATACATTAGACAAAAATGACTTATTACATACAAAGACATGGGGTGGGTGAGTCGTTTAACAAAAGCTTATTACTGAAAGGAGAAGGAACATGAATTGAACATACAAATTATTATAGTTTACAGTTGATGGCCCGGGCGTGGGTTGGCTTGAGATACCAGGTGGTGTGGTGTTCACGTGGTGTAGTAACTCGTCCTCGGGTGTGTAAGACAAGATAGGGAAGGTAGGAATTAATACAAAGACGGTCATAGACAGACAGACAGACAGAAAAGACGGTCATAGACAGACAGACAGACTAAAGTATATGTCTGACAGCTATGGTGAACTAAGTCTTGAGGTACGTCTTATACCATCTACAGTCACCACCTGCGATTACTGGCACCTGTTGTCACCTCTCACCACCACCACACCTAACTACCACCACCACACCTAACTACCACCACCACACCTAACTACCACCACCACACCTAATCCACCACCACACCTAACTACCACCACCACACCTAACCACCATCATCACACCTAATTACCACCACCACACCTAACTACCACCACCACACCTAACTACCACCACCACCTCTTCCATACCTACCTACCTACCACCATTACAACCACCACCACACCCTACCGCCACCACTAGCACCAGCACCTGTCAGAGAAAGAGGAAGGAGGCGTAACCAAGTGCTCTCCACCCGCGGATAAATCTGGATTCACACTACAAAACGGCAACAAAGCCTTAGAAAAACGCGTGAGGGGGTCCATGGTTGGAGTCTTGGTGGGGAGGGGGGGCTACACGAGTGTGTGTGGTAGTAGTATAGACCTTGTTACGAGGGGAGAGGGAGGGGGAGAAGATGGGGTGAGGAAAATGGGGGTGACAAAGCTTGAGTACAGTTTGTCTATTGTGAGTAATTCAGTCAGGTCTTGACACTGAGGGTGGTATCACTTCTCACCACCACGCAGGACAGAGGTTCATACACAAGAAATACAGCATATCCATTAACAGTTATATATATATATATATATATATATATATATATATATATATATATATATATATATATATATATATATATATATATATATATATATATATATATAGGTCAGAGTCATGTGGGTTGAAAGAGGGGGAAGAGGAGGGGTAGGAAGGGAAGTAGAGGGTAGGAGGAGAGGGAAAGAGGAAACGAGGGGAGGAGGAAACAGGGAAGAAGAGGAGAGGGAAAGGGAGGAAGGGGAGTAGGAGGTAAGGAAGAGGGAAGAGTAGAAGAAAGGAAACAGTTATTCAATAATATACTGTCGTCAAAGAGAGATTGTATTAGTCTCCTGTCAGTCTATGGTGCACAGTCTAGGGTGCACAGTCTATGGTGCACAGTTTAGGGTACATAGATCTATGGTACATAGTTCTATGGCAAGTCTATGGTGCACAGTCGATGGTGCACAGTCTAGGGTACATAGATCCATGGTACATAGATCTATGGTACACAGTCTATGGGGCACAGTCTAGGGTGCACAGTCTATGGTACACAGTCTAGGGTGCACAGTCTATGGTACACAGTCTAGGGTGCACATTCTAGGAGGCACAGTCTATGGTGCACAGTTTAGGTACATAGATCTATGGTACATAGTTCTATGGTGCACAGTCGATGGTGCACAGTCTAGGGTACATAGATCTATGGTACACAGTCTATGGTGCACAGTCTATGGTGCACAGTCTATGGTGCACAGTCTAGGGTACATAGATCCATGGTACATAGATCTATGGTACACAGTCATATGGGGCACAGTCTAGGGTACACAGTCTAGGGTGCACAGTCTAGGGTGCACAGTCTATGGTGCACAGTCTAGGGTACATAGATCCATGGTACATAGATTCATGGTACACAGCCTATGGGGCACAGTCTAGGTGCACAGTCTAGGGTGCACATTCTAGAGGCACAGTCTATGGTGCACAGTCTACGGTGCAGTCTAGGACACAGTCTAGGCACAGTCTATGGTACACAGCCTACGGTGCACATTCTAGAGGCACAGTCTATGGTGCACAGTCTATGGTACACAGTCTACGGTGCACAGTCTAGGTACACAGTCTAGGGTGCACAGTCTAGGGTGCACAGTCTATGGTACAAGTCTAGGTACATAGATCCATGGTACATAGATCTATGGCACAGTCTATGGGCACGTCTAGGGTGCACATTCTAGAGGCACAGTCTATGGTGCACAGTCTATGGTACACAGTCTACGGTGCACAGTCTAGGGTACACAGTCTATGGTGCACAGTCTGGGTGCACAGTCTAGGGTGCACAGTCTAGGGTGCACAGTATGGTACAAAGTCTATGGTACACAGTCTAGGGTGCACAGTCTATGATACAGTCTAGGGTGCACAGTCTATAGTACACAGTCTATGGTACACAGTCTATGGTACACAGACTAGGGTGCACAGAATATAGTACACAGTCTAGTGCACAGTCTATAGTACACATTCTAGGGGGGGACAGTCTAGGTGCACAGCCTAGGGTACACGGTCTATGTACACAGTCTAGGGTACACAGCCTTAGTGCACATTCTAGGTGCACATTCCAGGGTACGCAGCCTAGGGTGCACATTCTCGGTACACAGCCTAGGTGCACAGTTTAGGGTACACATTTAGGGTGCACATTCTAGGGTACACAGTCTAGGTACAGCCTAGGGTGCACAGTTTCCGGGTACACATTCTAGGGTACGCATTCTAGGGTGCATTCTGGGTACACAGCCTAGGGTGCACAGTTTAGTGCACAGTTTAGGTACACAGTCTATGGTGCACATTCTAGGGTGCACATTCTAGGGCACACAGCCTAGGGTGCACAGCCTAGGTGCCACAGCCTAGGGTGCACATTCTAGGGTGCACATTCCAGGGCACAGCCTAGGGTGCACATTCTATGGTACACAGTCTAGGGTGCACATTCTAGGAGGCACAGTCTATGGTGCACAGTCTATGGTACACAGTCTACGGTGCACAGTCTAGGGTACACAGTCTATGGTGCACAGTCTTGGGTGCACAGTATGGTACAAAGTCTATGGTACACAGTCTAGGGTGCACAGTCTATGATACACAGTCTAGGTGCACAGTCTATAGTACACAGTCTATGGTCACAGTCTATGGTACACAGACTAGGGTGCACAGAATATAGTACACAGTCTAGGGTGCACAGTCTAGTGCACATTCTGGGGGACAGTCTAGGGTACACGGTCTATGGTACACAGTCTAGTGCAGCCCATGGTACACAGCCTAGGGTACACGGTCTATGGTACACAGTCTAGGGTGCACAGTCTATGGTACACAGTCTAGGGTGCACATTCTAGGGTGCACATTCCAGGGTACGCAGCCTAGGGTGCACATTCTAGTGCACATTCTAGGCCACAGCCTAGGGTGCACAGTTTAGGGTACACATTCTAGGGTGCACAGTCTAGGGTACGCATTCTAGGGTACGCATTCTAGGCATTCTAGGGTGCGCATTCTAGGGTGCACAGTTTAGGTACACAGTCTAGGGTGCACATTCTAGGGTGCACATTCTAGGGGACACAGCCTAGGGGTGCACAGCTCAGGGTGCACAGCCTAGGGTACACAGCCCAGGGGTGCACAGCCTCCAGGGTACACAGCCTTGGGTACACAGCCTAGGTGCACAGCCTAGGGTACACAGCCCAGGTACACAGCCTAGGGTGCGCAGTCTAGGGTACAAGCCTAGGTGCACAGCCTAGGGTACACAGCCCTTGGGTACACAGCCTAGGGTGCACAGCCTTGGGTGCAATGCCAGCCTAGGGTACACAGCCTTGGGTACACAGCAGGGTGCACAGCCTAGGCACACAGCCCAAGGGCCACAGCCTTGGGTACACAGCCTAGGGTACACAGCCTAGGGTACACAGCCTAGGTACACAGCCTTGGGTACACAGCCTTGGGGTACACAGCCTTGGGTACACACAGCCTGGGTACACAGCCTAGGTACACAGCCTTGGGTACACAGCCTAGGGTGCACAGCCTTGCGTACACAGCCTAGGTACACAGCCTTGGGTACACAGCCTAGGGCACACAGCCTGGGTACACAGCCTTGGGTGCACAGCCTGGGTACACAGCCTTGGGTACAGCCTGCAGGGGTGCACAGCCTGTACACAGCCTGGGGTACACAGCCTTGGGTACACAGCCTTGGGTACACAGCCTAGGGTACAGCCTTGGGTACACAGCCTGGGTGCACAGCCTTGGGTACACAGCCTTGGGTACACAGCCTAGGGTGCACAGCCTTGGGTGCACAGTTTAGAGACATTTCCTGGCCCCACACCCACATACACCACGTTATTTTAGGTCATAAGGAGTGCTGACTGGGTGTGTGTGTGTGTGTGTCCGGTATGGTTGTGTCACTATAACTTGAGAACGGTAAGAGGTATAGTGTTGAGACTCGGTGTGTGTATGGTGTCCTCAAACCTGGTGTGACTGTAGGGTGAAGAGCTGTTGTTATAGTGATGTAGGTGAATATAAAGGTATGGGTGATAGTGTTGTAGATGTAGTGATATTGTGAAATGGAGACGTGTGTGTGTGTGTGTGTGTGTGTGTGTGTGTGTGTTATAAAGTAATTTGATAGGGGGAAGTTAGGTTAGGTTAAAGTAGGTCACGGTGTATTGTTAGGTAGTGACAACAATCACTATTACTACTATAGTACCAGTACCACCACCATCACTCATTACCACCACCATCATTACCACCCACACCATCATTACCACCACCACCACCTCACCATCATTACCACCCACCACCACAGTCACCACACTATCACCACTCCACCACACCTCACCACCACCACCACCACACACCATCACCACCACCCACCATCACCACCACCACCCATCATTACCACCACCACCATCATTACACAAACAACATACCCCCACCACCACCCCACCTCCCACCTCCCACTCCACCCCACCTCCACCACCACCCACCCACACCACCCCACCCCACCACCTGACCACCATCCCATCCCCACCACCACCACCCACCCCCATCCCTACCACCACCCCCCTCATTACCACCACCACCCACCTCACCCCACCACCTACTCCACACCACCCCACCTCCACCAACCCCCACCCCTACCACCACCACCCACCTCACCCTACCACCTCACCTCCTACCTCCACCCCCATCATTCCACCCCACCACACCTCCACCTCCTACCTCACCCCTCACCTCCTGACCTACCACCCCATCCCTACCTCCCTGACCTCCTCCCACCTCCCTTTACCCTGACCTACCACCTCCCCAACCTCATGACCCACCCCACCCCTACCTCCTACCCACCCACCACTACACCTCCCTATCTCCTACTCACCCCCACTCTGACCTACTACACCACCCCTACCCCTAACCTACCACCACCCACCACATGACCCACTCCCACCACTCACTCCTACCACACCCACTCCTCAATCACCACCTCATGACCCACCTTGCTCCCACACCTCCTGACCCACTATCACCCCACCCTGACCCACTTCAATTCACCACCTCCTACCCACCTTCCCTACTCCTCCTGACCTCACCACTCCTTACCCCAATGACCCACCCTCACCCCCACCTCCCTGACCTCCTACCACTTCCCCACCTCATGACCCACCACCCCTACCTCCTGACCCATCTCTCTCTTACCTCCTGACTCCATCTTTGCCCCTACCTCCTGACCTCCCACCTCCCTTACCTCATGACTCCACCTCACCCCTGCACCTCCTCCTGACCTACTCCTCCTTACCTCATGACCCACTCCTCACCCCTTACCTCCTGACTCCACTCACCTTACCTCCTGACCTTTACCTCACCTCACCTCCCCTGACCCACCTTGTCCCTACCCTCCACCTCATCCCTACCCTCCTGACCTCCCACCTCCTTACCTCCTGACCCACCTCACCCCTACCTCCCCTTACCTCATGACCCACTCCCACCCCTACCTCCTGACCCACCTCACCCTACCTCCTGACCTCCTCCTCCCTCACCTCTACCTCCTACCCTCCCACTCCTCATGACCCACCCTCAACCCCTACCTCCTGACCTCCATAACCTACCTCCTGACCTCCTACTCCTCACCCCTACCTCCTGACCTCCCACCTCATCCCTACCCCTCCTGACCTCCCACCTCCCCTTACCTCCTGACTCCTATCTCCTTACCTCATGACCCACTTCACCCCCTCACCTCCTGACCCACCTCACCCCCACCCTGACCTCCACTCACCCCTACCTCCTGACCTCCCCACCTCACCCCACCTCCCAACCTCCCACCTCCCCTTACCCCATGACCCACCCCACCCCACCCCTGACCACTCCACCACCCTCACCCCATGACCCACCTTGCCCCTACCTCCTGACCCACCTCACCCCTACCTCCTGACCCACCCCACCCCCACCTCCCTGACCCATCTGCCCTACCTCCTGACCCCACCTCCCCTTACCTCATGACCTACCTCACCCCTACCTCCTGACCTCCTACCTCCCTTACCTCATGACCTACCCACCCCTGCCTCCTGACCCACTCCCCACTTACCTCCTGACCCACCTGTCCCACCTCCTTACCCACCTCACCCCACCTCCTGACCCACCTCCCTACCTCATGACCCACTCCCCACCCTCCCTCCTGACCCACCCCACCCCCACCTCCTGACCTCTTGCCCTCACCCCACCTCCTGACCCACCTTGCCCCCACCTCCTTACCTACCTCACACCCCACCTCCTGACCTCCACCTCCCCACCTCATGACCCACCTCACCCCTACCTCCTGACCCACCTCACCCCTACCTCCTGACCCTTGCCTCACCTCACCTCCTGACCTCCCACCTCATGACCTCCCCCACCCCAATCCTGTCCTCATAACCCACCTCCTGACCACCTACTCACCCCTACCTCCTGACCTCATAACCCACCCTCACCCCCTACCTCCTGACTCCACCTCACTCTTCACCCCTGACCTCTTGCCCCACCTCTACCTCCTGACTCTCCCTCACCTCCTGACCCACCTCTCTCCTGCCTCTCACCTCATGCCCCACCTCAGCCCCCACCTCCTGACCTACCTCACTCTACCCCTTGACCTCTTGCCTCACCTCCTACCTCCCACCTCTGCCTCCCTCCTCCCCTCCTACCCATCTCTCCCTACCTCATGCCCCACCTCAGCCCCACCTCCTGACTCCTATCTCGCCTGGCATCCGGGGTCAAGTCTCAGGCTAATTTGGTCCCCATTTTTATTCATCCTTGTGATTCCCACGTGTTGGTTTAATGAACCTCTGTTTTATTGTGTGTTTGTTTTACTTTGTGTATTTTTTAAGTGTGTGTGTGTGTGTGTGTGTGTGTGTGTGTGTAATGGCTGTATGCTCGCCTCGCAAGCTAGTGGACCCAGGCGCGATCCTCGGGCAGGGTGAAACTATGGACAAGTTTCTTGACGCAATAGCCTCTGTCTACCCGGCAGTAATTGGGAACCGGGATGTTATCGAATTGCGGATCGTGTTACGGGGTAATGGTTAGCCAGTGCAGTTAGTGAGTTGTCCAATCTTCTCGGACTATTCCTTGACACTGGGTCATACAGCTCGTTAACTTAGGGTGTGGTTGTTGTGCTGGCGACAGCTTCTACACCTTAAACACTGGGTCATGCAACTCGTTAACTCAGGGTGTGGTTGTTGTGCTGGCGACATCTTCTACACCTTAAACACTGGGTCATGCAGTCGTTAACTCAGGGGGAGCTACAAACACTGCCTAACCAGGTGTGGTTGTGTTGGCGACAGCTTCTACACCTTAAACACTGGGTCATGCAACCTGTTAACTCAGGGTGTGGTTGTTGTGTTGGCGACAGCTTCTACACCTTAAACACTGGGTCATGCAACTCGTTAACTCAGGGGTGGTTGTTGTGCTGGCGACAGCTTTACACCTAAACACTGGGTCATGCAACTTGTTAACTCAGGGTGTGGTTGTTGTGTTACACAGCTTCTACACCTTAAACACTGTCATGCAACTCGTTAACTCAGGGTGTGGTTGTGCTGGCGACAGCTTCTATACCTTAAACACTGGGTCATGCAACTCGTTACTCAGGGTGTGGTTGTTGTGTTGGCGACAGCTTTACACCTTAAACACTGTCATGCAACTCGTTAACTCAGGGTGTGGTTGTTGTGTTGGCGACAGCTTCTACAACCTTAAACACTGGGTCATGCAACTCGTTAACTCAGGGTGTAGTTGTTGTGTTCGACAGCTTCTACACCGTAAACAAATTCACGCCTAGGCGGCCCTTGGACCGGCCATCCTCGTTACATGAGAGGCAACCATTATTATTGTGTGTGTGTGTGTGTGTGCGTGCGTGGGATTGCCGCTGACGTCACTGAGACTAAACGTTACAGCTACAGCTCCAGAAGCTTGGGGGGATTACCTGTATCCTGTAATGGCTGTAACGTATTGTGTAGTAGTGTAGCAATACAGGACAGTGTATGATGACAATGTATATGTTGACTGTACTGTATTCTGTAACCACTTCATTATTGCAGATACTGTTTATTTTGTAGTCTCTGTAATTTGGGGATTAAGTAATATAATCTGGTGTGTGGTACTGTAGTGTGTGGTACTGTAGTGTGTGGTACTGTAGTGTGTGTATGTAGTGTGGTACTGTAGTGTGGTACTGTAGTGTGTGGTACTGTAGTGTGTACTGTAGTGTGTGGTACTGTAGTGTGTGGTACTGTAGTGTGTGGTACTGTAGTGTACTGTAGTGTGTGGTACTGTAGTGTGTGGTACTGTAGTGTGTGGTACTGTAGTGTGTGGTACTGTAGTGTGTGGTACTGTAGTGTGTGATGTAGTATACCGTATGGTAGCTGTAGTGATGGTGTGTATACTGTATTGTTTGTATTTTGTTGTTCTGTAACTTTACTATTTAACGTTACACACACACACACACACACACACACACACACACACACATACAGTCTCCTCAACCAGCATCTCTCTCACCCAGCATCCCCACCCAGCATCTCCCCACCCAGCATCTCTCCTCAACCCAGCATCTCTCCCCCACCCAGCATCTCTCCCACCCAGCATCCTCTCAACCCAGCATCTCTCCCCACCCAGCATCCTCCTCCCCACCCAGCATCTCACCCAGCATCTCTCCCCACCCAGCATCTCCCCACCCAGCATCTCTCTCACCCAGCACTCCCCCCACCCAGCATCTCTCACCCAGCATCTCTCCTCACCCAGCATCTCTCCTCACCCAGCATCTCTCTCAATCGCAGCATCTCACCCATCTCTCTCACCCAGCATCTCTCCTCACCCAGTATCTCTCTCACCCAGCATCTCTCCCCACCCAGCATCTCTCTCCCCACCCAGCATCTCTCCCCTCTAATTAGCATCTCTCCCCTCACCCAGCATCTCTCTCACCCAGCACCTCTCATCCAGCATCCTCCTCAACTAGCATCTCTCCTCACCCAGCATCTCTCTCACCCAGTATCTCTCTCACCCAGTATCTCTCTCTCTCCTCACCCAGCATCTCTCTCTCACCCACTTCACCCAGTATCTCTCTCACCCAGCATCTCTCTCTCTCACCCAGCATCTCTCCTCCACCCAGTATCTCTCTCACCCAGCATCTCTCTCACCCAGTATCTCCCCACCCAGCATCTCCACCCAGCATCTCTCTCACCCAGCATCTCTCACCCAGCATCTCTCACCCAGCATCTCTCTCACCCAGCATCTCTCACCCAGTATCTCTCACCCAGCATCTCTCACCCAGTATCTCTCTCACCCAGCATCTCTCTCTCTCACCCAGTATCTCTCTCTCACCCAGTATCTCTCTCACCCAGCATCTCTCTCACCCAGTATCTCTCTCTCACCCAGTATCTCTCTCTCTCACCCAGTATCTCTCTCTCACCCAGTATCTCTCTCACCCAGTATCTCTCTCACCCAGCATCTCTCTCTCACCCAGTATCTCTCTCCTCACCCAGCATCTCTCTCACCCAGTATCTCTCTCTACCCAGCATCTCTCTCACCCAGATCCTTCACCCAGCATCTCTCTCACCCATATCTCTCACCCAGCATTCTCTTCTCACCCAGTATCTCTCTCTCACCCAGTATCTCTCTCACCCAGTATCTCTCTCACCCACACAGGGTCTCCACGGTTCCGTCGTCGTGTAGAGAGTCAATGGTCATCTCTCGTCTCTCGGTGGCGTAACATCGGCTCTCCCTCCCGCCATGCTGTCACGCCCACGCCCGACCACGAGGGTCTGGTGGGCGGCGGGAGGGTACACATGATGCGGCAGAGGGAACACGCCCACACTAGCGGCGGCAGCAGCAGCGGCAGCAGTAATGGCGGGCCTCTGCACGCCCTCCGCTCCAAGTTAGGGCGTGGTAGGTCGCGGCAGACGAGGGCCATGTCGCTCTGTGAGCCAGAGGATGAGTGGGGTCCGCCTAATCGTCAGTGGGTGGATTCCCGGGCGGTGCTGGAGTGGGCGCGACGCTGTGGGGAGAGGGACGATGAGCAGGACTCCGGGGTCACTGGCAGCGATAACGACGAGGTTTTCCCCGCCCCCTCCACCAAGTCTTCGTCATCGTCGTCCTCGTCTAGCGGAGGGTCGTCCTGCCACGACGAGGCCTTTAGCGAGACGTGCAGCGACACTTACGCCGGCAGTGACCGCCAGGGGGACGCTACGCCCCCGCCCCCCGCAGAGGAGTACTCTCACACCTGCCCTCCACACAGCCTCAAGCGACACGACTCTCACTCCTCGCAGCAGGGAGCACTACAGCAGCCGCGTATCGTTGCAGATCATGTCATCAAAATGCACACGAGGGATCACCCGTCGTCCCCTTCACCTACGCCGTCTGGAGTGTTAGGGCGGCGTTACCAGAAGGCTGCACAACAACCACAGCCTCAGCCTCGGCCACACCTACTACAGCCTCACCTACAGCAGCCACCAAAACAGCCGCCACAGCCACAGCAGCGACCAGCTGTGCCTCCTAGACCAGGTGGCCGTTCCCGGGTCTCTACCTGTGTTGACTCCTGTATCTGGGAGGAGCCGCCCCCTCTAGACCTACGATGTTCCGCCCACACCACCGTCCAGTCCACCGCCCACACACCCACTGCCCGTCCACCGCCCACACACCCACTGCTCCTCACTCCACACACCCACCGCCCCGTCCAACACCCACACACCCACCGCCCCGTCCACCCCCCACCGCACGAGCACCCTCGACCGCCCGAAGCACCACCCAGGACGCACCTCCCCGCCCACTTCCACCACCACCATGACTCTGGGGAGGGGCGGCCTGAGGACTCTGACGGCGGCCACGACGGAGGAGCGGCGACGGCTGCAAGGGCTCAGGTCCTCCCCGGAGAAGACCACCCGCCCCCAGACGCCGCCTGCCATCCCTCACGCCCACCGCCGACCACAACAAGTCCACGTCTAGTCATGAAGAAGACGACCCAGAGAAGGTAAGTCATGTTTTGTTGGTCCTCGAGTGTGTTTGGGTGTGTTAGAAGTTCTTAGGGTGCGTTGAGGTGTGTTAGTGCGTACTGTAATAACAACAACAACAAGAGTTAGGTAAGAGCAGTACCTAAACGTTCAGCTGTGGTCACCATCAAAAGGTCCCGCACAAAGCTTCCTACTTAACTGTTATTGTCCCGGGAATTTACCTGAGGAGAGAGGAGAGAGAGAGAGAGAGAGAGAGAGTCCTTAGTTTAACATTAATAAAACATACAAGTGTTTTACCTATACAATTATGTTTACCGTATAGTTGTGTTTATTTCCTGTTTTTTTATGTTTTTTATTGTAATTTTAGTGTTTTATTTATTTATTTATTTTATTTTATTTATTTTTAATATGGTCAACACCTGCAGTTACAGTTGACCATCACCAGCAGGTCGGGTTCAGTGCCTCGTCCGGGAGTACCAAGTTTATCTCCCAATTTCATTTCATTTTCTGTATTTCTTATCTTTATTCCTGTTTTCTCTTTGTCTTTATCTTGTTTCCCATCTTTGTCTTCTCTGTTATCACCTCCTCCTCCTCCTCTCTTCTGTTATCACCTTCCTTCCCCTCTTCTCTCATCTCTATTATCACCTCTTCTCCTCCTCTTCTCTGTTATCACCTCTTCTCCTCCTCTTTCTTCTGTTATCACCTCTTCCTTCCTTTTATCTAATTAAAAAACACATGAATAGTGGTATAAGATAATTAAGCCTGGATGTGGTGATAGGAACTTGGTAGCTGTGGTGTTGTTCTGGTGTAGCTGTGGTGTTGTTCTGGTGTAGCTGTGGTGTTGTTCTGGTGTAGCTGTGGTGGTGTTCTGGTGTAGCTGTGGTGGTGTTCGGTGTAGCTTGGTGGTGTTCTGGTGTAGCTGTGGTGTTATTCTGTAGCTGTGGTGTTGTTCTGTAGCTGTGGTGTTGTTCTGGTGTAGCTGTGGTGTTGTTCTGGTGTAGCTGTGGTGTTGTTCTGGTGAAGCTGTGGTGGTGTTCTGTGAAGCTGTGGTGGTGTTCTGTAGCTGTGGTGGTGTTCTGTGTAGCTGTGGTGTGTTCTGGTGAAGCTGTGGTGTTGTTCTGGTGTAGCTGTGTGTTGTTCTGTGTAGCTGTGGTGTTGTTCTGGTGTAGCTGTGGTGTTGTTCTGGTGTAGCTGTGGTGTTGTTCTGGTGTAGCTGTGGTGTTGTTCTGGTGTAGCTGTGGTGGTGTTCTGGGTGCTGTGGTGTTGTTCTGGTGTAGCTGTGGTGTTGTTCTGTGTAGCTGTGTGTTCTGTAGCTGTGGTGTTGTTCTGGTGAAGCTGTGGTGTTGTTCTGGTGTAGCTGTGGTGTTGTTCTGGTGTAGCTGTGGTGTTGTTCTGGTGTAGCTGTGGTGTTGTTCTGGTGTAATGGTGGTGTTCTGTGAAGCTGTGGTGTTGTTCTGGTGTAGTTGTGGTGTTGTTCTGGTGTAGCTGTGGTGGTGTTCTGGTGTAGCTGTGGTGTTGTTCTGGTGTAGCTGTGGTGGTGTTCTGGGTGAAGCTGTGGTGGTGTTCTGGTGTAGCTTGGTGGTGTTTGGTGTGATTGTGGTGTTCTGGTGTGGCTGTGGTGTTCTGGTGTAGCTGTGGTGGTGTTCTGGTGTAGCTGTGGTGGTGTTCTCTGGTGTAGCTGTGGTGGTGTTCTGGTGTAGCTGTGGTGTTGTTCTGGTGTAGCTGTGGTGGTGTTCTGGTGTGGCTGTGGTGTTGTTCTGGTGTAGCTGTGGTGGTGTTCTGGTGTGGCTGTGGTGTTGTTCTGGTGTAGCTGTGGTGGTGTTCTGGTGAAGCTGTGGTGTTGTTCTGGTGAAGCTGTGGTGTTGTTCTGGTGTAGCTGTGGTGTTGTTCTGGTGTAGCTGTGGTGTTGTTCTGGTGTAGCTGTGGTGTTGTTCTGTGTAGCTGTGGTGTTGTTCTGGTGTAGCTGTGGTGGTGTTCTGGTAGCTGTGGTGTTGTTCTGGTGAAGCTGTGGTGTTGTTCTGGAAGCTGTGTGTTGTTCTTGGTGTAGCTGTGGTGTTGTTCTGGTGTAGCTGTGGTGTTGTTCTGGTGAAGCTGTGGTGTTGTTCTGGTGTAGCTGTGGTGTTGTTCTGGTGTAGCTGTGGTGTTGTTCTGGTGTAGCTGTGGTGTTGTTCTGGCTGTGGTGGTGTTCTGTGAAGTTGTGGTGTTCTTGGTGTAGTTGTGGTGTTGTTCTGGTGTAGCTGTGGTGGTGTTCTGGTGTACTGTGGTGGTGTTCTGGTGTAGCTGTGGTGTTGTTCTGGTGTAGCTGTGGTGGTGTTCTGGTGAAGCTGTGGTGTTGTTCTGGTGTAGCTGTGGTGTTGTTCTTGGTGTGATTGTGGTGTTCTGGTGTGGCTGTGGTGTTCTGGTGTAGCTGTGGTGTTCTGTGTAGCTGTGGTGGTGTTCTGGTGTAGCTGTGGTGGTGTTCTGGTGTAGCTGTGGTGTTGTTCTGGTGTAGCTGTGGTGGTGTTCTGTGTGGCTGTGGTGTTGTTCTGGTGTAGCTGTGGTGGTGTTCTCTGTGTGGCTGTGGTGTTGTTCTGGTGTAGCTGTGGTGGTGTTCTGGTGGCTGTGGTGTTGTTCTGGTGTAGCTGTGGTGGTGTTCTGGTGTAGCTGTGGTGTTGTTCTGGTGTAGCTGTGGTGGTGTTTGGTGTGGCTGTGGTGTTGTTCTGGTGTAGCTGTGGTGTTGTTCTGGTGTAGCTGTGGTGGTGTTCTGTAGCTGTGGTGTTGTTCTGGTGTAGCTGGTGGTGTTCTGTAGCTGTGGTGTTGTTCTGGTGTAGCTGTGGTGTTGTTCTGGTGTGATTGTGGTGTTCTGGTGTGGCTGTGTTGTTCTGGTGTAGCTGTGGTGGTGTTCTGGTGTAGCTGTGGTGTTGTTCTGGTGTAGCTGTGGTGGTGTTTCTGTGCTGGTGTTGTTCTGGTGTAGCTGTGGTGGTGTTCTTGGTGAGCTGTGGTGTTGTTCTGGTGTAGCTGTGGTGTTGTTCTGGTGTAGCTGTGGTGTTGTTTAGTTTGTCCTCAAGACACAGCACGAGGGAGAGAGTTAGCAGAAAACACCTCCTTCGTCACGGCCCTTAATCTACGTCAGCCTACGTCGAACCTCCGCCAGGCGTAGCAAGGGAAGTTACCCGGGGTAGGTTGTTGTATCCCTTCCTGTCTGGGGGCGGGGGAAGCTATTTTATGGTGGTGTTATCAGGGACTGTTAGTGGGTGGTTTTTGTTGTTTCATGTGAGATGGTTCTTCCTTATTCTCTGTGGGTGAGGGGTGTTAATGGGGGTTTCTCTGGGGGTTAGTGAAGGTTTGTTGTGTTTAAGGGAAATAGTTCTTCTTATTCTTTGGGTGGAGGGGTTGTCTCACACAGGAACATGGAGGAAACAGTAACTATTGGCCCATACTAGGCAGTCCTGTTTGCACCCAACCCTATCGCTCACCTCCCTATGTTTGAAGCGATCCAGCGTGTTCCAGTTAATGGTGATATTTGTGACTTGTTCCACTCATCTAATCTTGAGGGTCATTTCTGTATAAGGAAATACTAGAAGATGGCTTTACCCCCCGCCGAGCATGATAAGATACAGGAAAACAGCCCCGGCGTTACGTTTGTCTGACTAGTGACGTGACATAATTTTTGTTGACTAACGCTGTTTACGTTATAGGATGGAGCTTTGTCGTCGCCTTCACTCTGTGTTTGGCTGTCGACCTGAGCTGTTGTCGCTTCTGTCGAGCGGGTGTCGTCCACAGAACAATTTATTAAGCTGACAACTTTGACGAGAACAGTATCGTAAGAAGCGCTCTATATCATTAGTCGTCGTGAACGGTCGTGTAACGAAGCTCAACGACTTGATATATAAAGCTGGTGTAGTCTCTGTCGTCCTCAGTCAAGTGTGTCGTGAAAACTTTTAATTGTGAGTATCTGGGACGTGGAAGACGACCTAAGGGAAGAAGACTGGTCCTCGTCCACCATGATGACGTGTTCTGTCCTGAGGGAGGTGCCGAGGCTGGAGGTGGTAGAGGAAAGAGGAGGAGGATCAAGGGCCCGTCCTGGAGGATCACTACTACTACAGGATGGATCGTCCTCTCTCACGAATCTCGCACCTACCGGAGGAGGAGTATCTCCTCCACGTCTCCTTCACCCCAGCTCACCACCGAGGTCCCGTGTCGAGTGTGACCTCAGAAGTTTCGCTAACCTTTCCGTCTCCGGTAAACAGAAGACTAACTCACCCAGAGGCCTCAACTCACCACTCACCTGACCGTCACCTACTCGCCCTGATACCTACCTGGTGAGTAACTCCTCTACTTGTCTACCTGGGTGGCTGATCCAGGGCGGGGAGTAACATCAGCTGTGTTTACAAATCAGCTGACGAGTAAAATTTATAACATCAGCTAACTTGTTCTAATATAGTGATTGGTAGCAACAGTCGCTTCATAATGTAGTGTGTACGAGCGAGCATGAAATGTTACCTGTTGGTACTTTTCCTCTCCCTCCTCCAACTCCTCCTCCTCTTCTTCTCTCATCTCATCCACTATCTTCCTTTCCTCTCCCATTCTTCCTTCTCCTCCTCTCCTCTCTCTCTTCTCTCTCATTCTTCCTCCCTCCTCATTGTCATCCTTATTGCTGTCCTCATTTCGTGAGGTGAGGTCAGGCGAGGCTGGGTCTCACGTCAGGTCATCCGTCATAGGCGGGGTCAAAGGTCATCAATTACCTGTGGGAACCTTCTTCGTGTTTACCTGAGCTGGTCACAGACTGAGCGAAACATTTTTGTTATTGTAAATATTGGTTACTACTACTACTATCACGACTATTACTACTATCACGACTATTACTACTATCACGACTATTACTACTATCACGACTATTACTACTATCACGACTATTACTACTATCACGACTATTACTACTATCACGACTATTACTACTATCACGACTATTACTACTATCACGACTATTACTACTATCACGACTATTACTACTATCACGACTATTACTACTATCACGACT